GGTTTGAACAATTTTTAGCTAGACATAAAAAAATTAAGGACAAAAATGCTCATTTTGAACTCCGTAATGTATTAATAGAGCATTTATGGGAGCAACGTAATAATTTTGAAAATTGAGTGTTTATGTAATTGTATGTCACTTTTATTTGAATTTGTCCCCTAATTTATGTATTATATCATATTTTCTTGCAATTTATGTTATTTAAAAATTTAGAATAAAGTATAATTTCATATCACATTAAAAATTATATAAAGTAATTATCTGGGAAAAAAGAAATAAAGGATTTATATTATGAAATAAGAAAATAAGAATGAAATAGAAATAATAATATAATATTGAGGAGAGAGAAAAAGATTTCTTTTTAGAGAGTAAAATAGAGAATTGGGTTGGAGTTGATTGTTGAAAAAATAGAGAACTCTATATTTGGAGAGTAAAATAAAGGACACAACGTTGATATGAAAAGGTGAAAATATAAAATGAATAAATACACCAGGAATTAACACTATGTGACACAATAATATTCACTTTTCATAAAAAAAAAACAATCGTAACTGTATTTCCACTCTTTTTCATTTCTCATAATAATAATATGTTTGAAAATAAATATAAATTTTAATAAGCTCAAAGAAAGAACAAATGTATTAGGGGTGCAATTGACCGAACCAATCGAACTTAATCGAATCGAATAGATTTATATCATTTTCTCAATAAAATCATGGACTTTTATTCAAGTGTATAACCGTCTCAAACAATAGGGACATTTTTTTTAATTTATAAAAAAAATTCCGAACCGAATCAAATACCTTACATGTATATAAATATATTTTATATATGAACAATATGTCAAATTTAATATATAAATATATTTTATAATATTTTTCAAATATAAATATAACTGAAGTCCTAGACCTATGGTGACTGGACGACTTTAGGTCTTTGCTCTTTAATTAGCATTTACTTAATTATGTTTACAATTAAAAGAATATACTATAATGGGTACTCCATCAAACAATACGACAAAACCTATGCAAGAACTCTTATTAAATTTTTAAGATCAAACAATACGGCAACAATGTTTTACATTCTTGACTTTTTGGTGAAGAATTGAAGTACTTTTTCAAGAAGCGGTAGAAGTATTTTGATAATAGTATATTTTGAGGTGATATTTTTAAAATAAATAAAAAATAAAAATTAATTGAATTGTACCAATACGAAGAGAAACCAATATGATTTTGATAGTTTTAAAAAATCTAATTTTAGTTATACATTATAAAATATATAAAAAAAATTGAGATGGTATATTTTTTTTTAAATAACTGACCAAACCATCCCATTGACATTCTTAAAATTTACCACAAAGCTTACAACTAATATAATATAGAAATAAATAATATAAAATATTATTTTTACCTTCAAAATTTGAATATTGTTTCTTAATATTGAAATCGATACTGCAAAATACTGATATCGATACTACTAAATAATAAAGTTAGGTAACTAGAATAAGATAAAGAATAAAAAGTGTTGCATTCACCTTCTAAATATGAAAATTGTTTTTCAATATTATTTTAAAATCGACACTACAATTACCGGTGCTATTTCAACTTCTCCCGCCGGCTGATGCTTCCGTCGCCGTTCGCCGCTGGTCGATGCTCCCTCGCCTGCTGCATCAATGGCTCCTTCCTTTTTACTCCTATGTTTCTTCTACTTGTAGGTTCTTTCCCCTTGCCTTTTCTACTCTTTCGACAATTTTCTGAGATATTTCAATCGTTTGTTTGGTTTCGAGTTTATTTTATCTGTCTTTTCTCCTGCATTTGCACAGTAGTGTTGATATATGACTGTACAGATTTGTTATCGAGCTGTTATAGGGGTAAAGGTAACTGCTTAAGTATTTTGGATTGTCGAGGATTCTAATACATACATTTTCCGTTGGTATATTCTCAATTTGGTAAGGATAAAGTATTTTGCTTGAAATGCCTAGGTTCCATTCCCCTGCCAATAGTCTCCCTTAGTTGGCGTTGCTTATGTTCAGTGTAAGTGCTCTTCGGACTTGGAGGACTGTGGCGTACATTGATCCTGGATTTAGGTTATGCATCCTTTTCTTTATCAGCAACAACAATTATGCTTCAATGTCAACTAGTTAGGGTCAGCTATATGAGTCCCCATTTACCATTTCAGTCCCTATAGTATTTTTTTTTTTTCATTTCAATACTTATATGAGCCCTCATTGGAGATGCACGGATGTCCCAGTGAGGAGGCGTGAGAGATTGACTATGGTGGTTATGTGGGGATGTATAGGTAGGTCGAAGAGGTGTTAGGAGAGGTGACACATTTGTATCTTACTAAGGACATGACCGTAGATAGTAAGATATGTAAGTCGAGGATTAGGTAAGGTTAGTGAATAGTCGAGTGTTGTCTTGTTTCCTTATGCTGTTGCTACAGTTCTCTTCTCCATTGTTTCGGGTATGGCTTCTTCATTATTGTATTTGCTTTACATACTTGATTTGTGTTATGTTTTACTTGAGCCGATGATCTACTGGAAATAACCTCTTTGCTTTGTCTCAAGGTAGGGTTAAGGGTGCGTACACACCACGCTCCCCAGACCTTGGGATTACATTGGGTATGTTGTTGTTACTGTTGTTGTTGTTGTAATACTGTTTAATTTGATCTTTTAGATAGAATTAAGGGTTCTCCACCAATAAAGATTCTTAAATTTTGTACTTAACCCTTATCATGTAATCCCTCTCCAAACTAAGAAGATTCATGTCAAACACCGGCCTAATGTAAGTGTACCAAGTTGTGTTATGTAAGTGCGAAATAGGTTTTTCACTTTGCCTCAGTTAAGTGGCTTCACTGCACACACCTATATGGATATTAGGCTTGTGTTGTGTTCAATACTAAGTTCGTATGAAATCCAAGAGATTGTAGATCCTTTAAGGCAACTTTCCTCTATATGATTTTTGGTCTACCTTATTCCCCTTAACATATTCAGTTTTCATGTTGTGTACCCCTGCATTTGGTGTCCACGTAGGAGTAGGACATGATCAAACCATCTTCTTTTACAATCCCATGCCATTTTTTCTTTTCTTGTTTGTCCTCTATCTGTGTGCAAATTCTACCTGATGTGATTACTTCTAATCTTGTCTTTTTGTTCATGAAAAAAGAAAAAAGTATAATGCTAAGGTATAAGTACAGGCTACTAATGCTTTTTTCGAAAAAGCAATTCATATGCTAATTTAAAAGAGATCATAGGAATTTGCCTTTTCTCCTAGAAGGATGATCATGGGGAGCATCATTGAAGAAGTTGTGTAAAGAACACCGTCTACTTCATGTACCATAAGTCGTCTGATGAATGTGATTTTTCAGCAAGATGTTAGGCCTTGCACTATGCTCTACTTCTCTTGTCTGGTTTTTATATGGTTTTGAGAGAGGGAGAGGAGTTACTGCCTCATTCGTTAATTTTAAATACTTCTGAGCAAAAAATGTGAGTTTCATTTTACAAGTCGAAGTGAAAAAGATCAAGCTAGTTAGTTACCCAAATAAATACAATCAAAGTTACTTAAACCTTGTCAGATAACAGTAATATAAGTCGGCATTTATTTTGGTTGGAAGTTTTGTTCCTTCTTTTGTTTGATCTCTTGTACTCGAGGTTATATTTTTTTTTTGAGAATGCTGTACTCGAGGTGACATATTATCCAAATAGGTTTCTTCTTGTATTAATCTGAAACCAAACCAAACTGACAATATGTATAGCATTTCTTGAATTTTAACACATTGGAAATTTATAACATAAACATTTTGTAGCAATTTTCAAAATCTCTGTGTTTTCTGGTAGCTTTAACATGATCTTATATAGACAGGAGCCCAGTGCTGAGAGCTGTTGAATTTTTGTTCTTCTTCTGCTTTTATTCTGAGATAGGGGTAATGTCAAACTCTAGATTATAAACTCAACCTACAGATTCTGGCATTGAGAAAACAACAAAGAAAATACCCCCATTTATTGTTAACTACTTTCTGGTATATAGATCCTCTTTGTTTTTATTTTAATTATCATTTGTCAGCAGATAATGCCCCCACTTAGTATTGATCAGGTCTTTATTAGGATCTTTCTCTCAGCTTAGTTGGCAAGTGGGCAACTAAGCTGCTGTTACATTAATGTTGAGAAGGGTGTTACTTTGCTCTATAAAAACCAGAGTTCCCTACTCAATTATGCAACACAAGTCCTTAATTTATCCTTCACTTCTCTGGGTATTATTTGTTCCAAATCAAAATGGAAAACTTAGGGAAGTTGGGGAAATGGTCTTTTCTAACAGTTGCTTTGGCAATTTGCTTAGTAGCCTGCACTGTTGTTGCTGATTACTCTTATGGGTATACTTCTCCCTCACCGTCTCACAACTCTAACAAGTACTACAAATCACCATCTCCATCCAACTATCATGTACCCACTACTTATTACAAGAAGCCATATCCATCACACTATTACTACAAATCACTAGCACCTTCAAAGCACACTTATTACTAGTCACCATTACCTGCAAAATATTACAAATCGCACTATCCAACAAAATATTACAAGTCACATGTTCCTTCAAAGCATTACTACAAATCGCCTACTCCTTCAAAGCACTATTACAAGTCACCCACTCCTTCAGAGCATTACTACAAGTCCCCATCCCCTGTAAAGTACTACAAATCCCCAGCGCCTGCAAAGTACTACAAGTCCCTATCACCCACAAAGTATTATAAGTCCCCCTCACCAGCAAAGTACTACAAGTCGCCTACTCCGTCAACACACTATTACTACATGTCACCATCCCCAACAAAATATTACAAATCACCCACTCCATTTAAATACTACGAGTCTCCTTCACCAACAAAATATTACAAGTCTCCCCCACCACCACCAACTTATTACGAGAAATCACCTTCGTACTACAAGTCACCTCCACCTCCACCAAAATACTATGAGCAATCACCTTCTTACTACAACTCACCTCCTCCCCCACCAAAATACTATGAATAATCACCATCATCTTACAAATCTCCACCAAAATACTACGAGCAATCACCAACTTATTACAAGTCTCCACCTCCACCATACTACTCAGAATCTACACCTTCCTATAAATCTCCTCCACCTCCTCCAAAATCCTACGAACAATCACCTTCGACCTACAATTCACCACCTCCTCCAAAGACCTATGAACAATCACCATCATACTATTCACCACCACCACCACCTTACTACGAGCAAACACCAACCTATGCCTCACCGCCACCACCTGAGAAATACAAGCAATCCATCACCTATGCTTCTTCACCTCCACCCCCGTCACCAACCTACTAACATTCAAATCATTATCGTCAATCATTTCCCATCATCTCCATGACCTATTAACTCTCTTTCATCCTTCATCGGAAGATTTTCACTTCCTTTGCCAAAAAACTGTGTTTCCAAATAAGACCAGCTTTGCTTGTTGTATGCTCTTTTGTTTTAATAATATGTAATATTTATTCTTGGAGATTTAAGTAAGATCGTTGAGATCTCCATCAGTTTGGCTTATTGTGTCAAGATTTTTTTTTTTGTGTATTTCATCAAGAATTATACTTTGCTCAGTACAATCTTCTCTTTGTCTAATATATCTGAGGGGCATCTCAGTTTATTGTCTCTAGATGATTTTCTTCTCAATTATGGTTCATAACTTATTTATTACAAAAGGTAAACAAGACAAAAGAAAAAAGAATGAGGAAAGGTGCAGGATATGTCCGTGCACAACAAATTTTCTTGTTTGACTTAGTGGGTATTACTGTATTTTGGATTGTTATTGTACTTATCAGCTTTTGAGAAATAAATCATATAAAATAAACATAACAATAAAGGAATTAGGAGAATTTAAATTTAGGGGTATGCATCTTTTTTTACCATTATTTTTCTTAGAGAATTATCAGTAGGAAATGATATAATGTGATCTTTAAAGGTTGAATTACAAAATAAATAAAGACTCCATGAATTAGCCCTATGTAAGAGCCCGTTTGGATTAGTTGATTGTAAATAACTAATAAATTTTAAGTGCTGGAACTGATTTTATAATTGAATAATTACGTGTTTGGATAGAATTGTTGGAATAAAAATGTTCTTTTGTTAGAATGATTAGAATATCCTTAAAAAGTTTATAAAATGTTATAATTTAGGAGTATTCTTGTAAAGAGGAGGAAGAACAATGGGATACAAAATGAAGAGAAAGTTAGCAGTTCTGTTTTGGGAAAGATACTTTGAAAATTAGAAAAAAAATATTAAGGATAAAATAGTAAAATATTTTATCGAACCAAAAGTGTAAGGTGCAAAATCATGAGTTGGTGATGGCCAACTATGGTTTTGACTGATTTAACTTACAAATACTTGACTTATAAGTACTTTGGTGTTTACCAAACTCATAGTAAGCCTACACAACCAGCCCATTAGTGTTCATTTAGTACTCAATCCCATTATTTACAAGCATCTAATCATTCGGAAATCATATTTACAGAATGAAACCATATGATGTGCACATCCATTTTTCTGCATAATTATGTATACCCAGCTTGAATCGTGTAATTAGTAAAACTAATTTTCTTTTTGGAATTTTTAACAACTAGGGAACTGGAGGATGAGCACCATGAAGAAGTCTTGAAAAGAACATCGTCTGTTTAATGTATCACAAGTCGTCTGATGAATGTGATTTTACAGCGAGATGTTTGGCATGGCACTATGCTCTACTTCTCTTGTCTGGTCGAGAGAGGAGTTACTGCCTCAGTCGTTAATTTTAAACACATCTGAGCAAGAGTGATGCATTCAAAGTCACTCAAACCTATCAGATAATAGTTAAATAAGTCTATCTATTTTGGTTGGATGTTTTGTTCCTTCTTTTGTTTAATCTCTTGAGATCACTTGTATTCAAGGTGAAATATTATCCAACTAGGTTTCTTGTGGTATTAAACTGAAAAGAGTTGATCTGAAACCGAACCAGAGTGCCAATATGTATAGCATTTCTTAATTTTTAACACATTGGAATTTATAACAGAAACATTTTGTAACAATTTTCGAAATTTCTGTTTTTTCTGGTCACTTTGACGTGATCTCATATAGACTTTGTTGGTATAGGAGCCCCATTGCTGATGGCCATTACAGTATTGTTCTTCTTCTGCTTTTATTTTGAGATGGGGACAATGCCCAATGCCAAACTCTAGATTATAAGTCAACTTACAGATTCTGGCATTGAGAAAACAACAAAGAAAATGCCCCCATTTCTTTGTTCTGTTTATTGTTAAGAAATAGTCTATCTTTAACTACTTTCTTGTGCATATATCCTCTTTGTTTATATTTTTTAAATATTTTTATTTGAATTATCATTTGTCAGCAGATAATGGCTACCACTTAGTACTGATTAAAGTTTTTATTTGGACCTTGCTCTCAGATTAGTGGGCAAGTAGGCAATTAATGCTATTACATTAATGTTGAAAATAGCGTCATTTTGCTCTATAAAAGCCAGAACTCCCTATTCATCTATGCAACACAAGTCTTTAGTTCTATCCTTCACTTCTCCAAGTATAATTTGTTACGAATCAAAATGGAAAGCTTAGGGAAGTTGGGGAAATGGTCTTTTCTGACAGTTGCTTTGGCAATTTGCTTAGTAGCCAGCACAGTTGTTGCTGATTACTCTTCTGAGTATACTTCACCCTCACCTTCTCACAACTCTAACAAGTATTACAAATCACCATCTCCATCCAACTATCATGTGCCCACTCCTTATTACAAGAAACCTTATCCATCACATTATTACTACAAGTCACCAGCACCTTCAAAGCACGCTTATTACAAATCGCCATCACCAACAAAATATTACAAGTCACATGTTCCTTCAAAGCACTACTACAAGTCACCGGTTGCAACAAAGTATTACTACAAGTCCCCAACTCCTTCAAAGCATTATTACAAATCACCCGCTCCTTCTAAGTATTACTACAAGTCCCCATCTCCCGCAAAGTACTACAAGTCCCCATCTCCAGCAAAGTACTACAAGTCACCTACTCCATCAACACACTATTACTACAAATCACCATCCCCAACAAAATATTACAAATCACCCACTCCATCTAAATACTACAAGTCACCTTCACCAACAAAATACTACAAGTCACCAGTTTACTACAAGTCACCTCCACCTCCACCAAAATACTACGAGCAACCGCCAACTTATTACAATTCTCCACCTCCTCCAAAGACCTATGAACAATCACCTACATACTACTCACCTCCACCACCACCGTACTACAAAGAAACACCAACCTATGCCTCACCACCACCACCTGAGAAGTATGAGGAACCTGTCACCTATGCTTCACCGCCACCACCTGAAAAGTACGAGGAACCTGCTACCTATGCTTCACCTCCACCCCCATCACCATCTCCCCCACCACCAACCTACTACTAGTAGTCAAATCCATTCTTTTCAATCATTTCCCAGTTTTGGGGGTTTCCATTTCCTTTTATGCTTCCCAAAATGACCAGCTTTGTTTGTTGTGTGTTCTTTTTTTTTATTAATAATTCCTAATATTTATCTTTGGAGATTTAAGTAAGATCCGTGAGATCTCCATCAATTTGATTTATTGTATCAAGATTTTATTTGGTGTAATTTTTCAAGAATTCTACTTTGTTTAATACTATATCATCTTTGTTTGAAATTGTTTATTCTAATTGACTGAACTTTTTCATCGGTCTATATGTACACCTCCCGGACATATTTGTGCTTTTTGTTCTCAATTATGGTTTAAAATTTAAGCAAATGCATATTTTGTTTTTTCCAATTATTTTTCTGGAATGATTTATGGGTAAATAAGCCATGTGACATAGGCGTTGATCTGAAAAGGTGGAATTATAAGAATAAAGAAATACACCATGAATTAACACTATGTAACATAATAATCTTCACTTTTCATAAAAAAATAATTGTTACTATATTTCCATTTTCTTTTTCATTTCTCATAATAATAAGTATGTTAAAAAATAAATATAAATTCTAATAATCTCAAACAAAGAACAAATTTACCACAACGTTTACTACTAGTATAATACAGGATAAAATAATACAAAATATTGCTTTTACTTTCTAAATTTGAAAATTCTTTCTTAATATCTTTAAGATTGAAATTGATACTACAAAATAAATGAGATTTATAAAGTTAGGTAACTAAAATAAGTGAAATCATAATGAATTTTTTTGTTTTTTTAAAAAAAAATTAATACATAAATGTTATTAGTATGGAGTGTTATTTTATTTACATTGAATTCATTCAATATATATATAAAAAAAATATAAGAGTATTATTTTCCACATGTGAAAAAATGATAGCCAAATTACCCAACTAATAATAGAGAATTTTATTTGAAGAAAAATATTTAAAATATATCTAATTAATTTTACAAAACAATTTTCAGCATTTAAATAACACTTAGAAAGCATCACTATAACCTTTGCTCCCTTTCGCTCTTCACTCTGCGCAGCCTTTGGAGCCCCCAAACAAACTCAATCACCACTGCTACTTCAACTTCTCCCGCCGGCCGATGCTTCCGGCACCGGTAACCGCCGGTCGATGCTCCCTCGTTCGCTCCGTCAATGACTCCCTCCTTAATAGCCCTATATTTCTTTCAATCTGTAGGTTTCTTCCCTTGCTTTCCACAATTTTCTGAGCTATTTCAATGATTCTTTTGGTTTCGAGCTTATTACAAGATCTGTATTTTTTCCTGCATTTGCACATTAGTGTAGATATATGTATATCTAGACCCTACAGATTTGTTGTCGAGGTAGCTAAAGGGATAAAGGTTTCAGCTTTAAGTATTTTGGTTTTTTTGTTGGGGTGGGGTGCAGGGGTTTTCTTGCATTTTCTCTCTGTTTGAAGAGATGTGATTTGAAGATTCTAATACGATTTAGTTTCCATTGATAGATTCTAAGGTAGACTTGGAGCAATTTGGTAAGGATAGAATGTCTTGCTTACCTAGGTTCTGTAGCACAACTTAATACAGTTACACTAAGTCCGGTGTTTGACGGAGTTTGGAGAGGCACTATATGACAGAGTGGGGATAAGTATGAAATTTAAAGAATCCTTACTGGTGGAGAACCTTCGTTATTCCTCAAAGAGAAATTTTTAAGTATTGGAATGAAAAATACCTATAGTGAGCGAAATGGTTAATGAAAAATGACGGTGCGTATAGTAGACTCCAACTAGATGGGGGTTGAAGCAGAGTTGTTGTCGTTGCTTTTGATGGAGAAAAGGTAATTTAACCTAAATCCAGGACCAGGGTATACCACAGATTCTTAAAGAGAACTTTAGTTGAAACTAAAGGAGATTGTTAAAGCCCTGAGCTAAGTGCGAAATACTTTATGCTTCCCCTCGGTTAAGTGGTTTCAGTGCAGGATCCTATATGGATATTATGCTTGTGTTATGTTCTTCACTAAGTTCTTAAGAATTACAAGACATTATAGATCCTTTAAGGCATCTTTCCTTAATATGATTTTTGGTCTACCTAATTCCCCCTTAACACATTCAGTAGTCATGTTGTGGTCACCTGCATTTGGTGTTCATGTCAGAATAAGGAATGATCAAATGATCTACCTTTACTATGTAATGCCACATTTTTCTTTTCTTTTTTGTCCTCTATCTATATGCATATTCTGCCTGATGTGATTACTTATAATCTTGTATGAGTACATGAGAAAGAAAAAAAGATAATCCTAAGGTATAGCCACTAATGCATATGAAATATCTTTTCTCTAATAAGCAATTCATATGCTTATCTTAAAAGAGACTCATAGGACTTTTGCATTTTCTCAGAGAAGGATCTTTTTACTTCTTTATGCTTTGCCTAATTGAATAATTAAAAGATTTTTTATTTAAGTAGTAGTGCAACATGAATTTGTAATTGTTCAATAAGCATTCAGATAAATGTAAAATGATGTTATTAATTCTTATATATGTTTTCTGAAAAATTCAATGCTTGTGAATAATGAGATTGAAAAGCTAAGTGAACACAAATGGGCTAGGTTGTGTAGTGGTAATTAAAGAATTTTATTTGAGTTATTAATATCTAGTGGAATCTATAATGATAATATGTTTGGTTATTTTAACTGATGTCATGCGTCTTTTTCCTTTCTTGTATGCAGAGAAAGTGATGGCTTGTTCACTATCGTTTCTTGTTATTGTATTTTCAAGAGACTAGCATGTATTCTGTAGCTCTCTTTGGTCAAAGAGTTATTCAAAGATTCTCATATTTTAGCAGCTTTTCACGGTTTTTATGTAATCAACAATCTAACACTGATGGCACTGGAAATGGTTTTGGAAAAATCGAGGATTACTTGAACGAGAGCTGGAAGAGTATGAACTCCGATAATAATATGAAAGATAATGTTGACTTTATTGGAATCAACGGCTGCTATGAAGGCCATTTCCAACAAAAATTTTCAAGTAGGCACAACTTTATTGAGAAAGTGAGAAATGAGGCTAGTATGATTCTTGAAATTCTTCAACAAGATGGTCCAGGATTTGATGCAAAAGCAGCTTTAGATAATTCTCATATTACAGTTTCAAGCCTGCTTGTGAGAGAGGTTCTTCTAGGTATCTTGAAAACAATAAATTATGCAAATAAAAATAGGTGTGCAAAGCTGGGGTACAAGTTTTTTGTATGGTCTGGTCAACAAGAAAATTACCGACATACAGCAAATTCATACCATCTGATAATGAAGATTTTTGCAGAGTCTGACGAATTCAAGGCTATGTGGAGATTAGTAGATGAGATGATTGAGAAAGGATACCCTACAACTGCTAGGACATTTAATTTGTTGATATGTACTTGTGGAGAGGCAGGTTTGGCTAGAAAAGTAGTAGAGAGGTTTATTAAGTCAAAGACATTCAATTATAGACCATTCAGGCATTCATTTAATGCAATTTTGCATTCCCTTCTGGGTGTAAATCAGTACAGGTTAATTGAGTGGGTGTATCAACAAATGTTGGTTGAAGGTCATATTCCTGATATTTTAACTTATAACATTCTGCTATGCTCGAAATATAGGCTGGGAAAGCTGGATCAGTTTCATAGATTATTAGATGAAATGGGTCGGAATGGGTTTTCACCCGATTTTTACACATTTAACATCCTTCTTCATGTTCTTGGTAAAGGAGACAAACCGCTAGCAGCAGTCAACCTTCTAAACCACATGAAAGAAGTTGGTTATGAACCAAGCATTCTCCATTTTACCACTTTGATTGATGGGCTAAGTCGGGCCGGTAATTTGGATGCATGCAAATATTTCTTTGAAGAGATGATTAGGCAAGGCTGTGTGCCTGATGTTGTGTGTTACACTGTTATGATAACAGGATATGTTGTGGCTGGGGAACTTGATAAAGCTCAAGAATTATTTACTGACATGATCGTCAATGGGCAGTTGCCAAATGTGTTTACTTACAATTCCATGATCCGTGGGCTCTGTATGGCTGAGAAATTTGATGAGGCGTGCATGATGGTGAAAGAAATGGAATTGAGGGGTTGTAATCCAAATTTTATGGTGTATAGTACTTTAGTCAGTTACTTGAAAAATGCTGGAAAGCTGTCTAAAGCTCATGAAGTAATAAGACATATGGTGGATAAAGGACAGTATATCCATCTCGTTCCAAAGTTCAAAAGATATAGAAGATGTTAAAGAGGTAACCTATGCAAAACTAAGCTGGATAGAATGAAAATATAGTTTTTCTACCAACTAATGTTATTTTAATACTTCTGTGGAGCTCTATTATGTATTGGATGAACTGTTTGATACGCGAAGTAAAAATGACGATGAATTCTGAACAGGCTAACTGTCTTTTATGTATGTGCTATCAACATCATGCATTGGTTCTGTGTTTATGCCTCTGAATTCTGAAATTGAATTTGCTTACCATAAAACCAGGTAATGCTGCCGCTGTTGGTGCTTGCAATTTGACTGGTGTCATGAGTTCGCAGGTCCACCTCTCTACAATCTGCTGCAAAAAAGCAGCAACCAAAGGAAAAGGTACCAGATTTGCTTTATTTCTTAATTTTTGGATCAGTAGACAAATAGGGAAAAGATATCAACTTAATGAAGTTATCACTTGATGGCATTCTGTAATCTGGCTTCTTTTTGCAAATTAAATGAAAAAAAAATGTTTTGCTCATTCAAACCTATGAGTATGCGCACACTCATTGAATTGCATTCAAAACAGACCATCATCTTAATACCTTTTAACCATTTCTCAAGTTGCTCATGTCAGGGTTCCTAGAATTTTCGTGGAATAAGAAGGGTAGAACGTAACGTGCAAGTATTATTCAATAAGGATCACTGGATAAGGTAAAACTTCACTCTATTAGGCATTGTATAGAAGTTTAGTACTTTGTAATATTAACACAAACTCACTAACTTCTTCCTATTCGTATTATCCTGCAGCTGATTTTGACATAAAGCAAAGAGAGCCAAGCCACTATCAATTAGACATAACTCACTTTTTGCCTTAAAGCCATGGATTCCAGCTTGCAAGCAGCCACTTCTTGAACATCAAGAGGATCTATACTCTTGCTTATTCCAAATGCTAGGTACACTCTCCTTGCCTGAACATGTGATGATTATAATACTTAAAATACTATTCTCTTCGGCCAGCCTGCTTTGAACTGTCAAGAGAACGATAGGTATGATGTGACCGGCACTTCGGAAGTTTCACATGATTATTATTGTTCATGCCAAAAATCAATTCCTTTTTTTGGTGTCAGGAATTGCTTCATAATCTTGTAATGAGCATTCCGTGAGTTTTAGTAGTACAATAGTTTAAAAGTAAATTGTATTTTGCAGATGAAGTGTGAAGTGCTCTAGAAAAGAGAAAAGTTAAGCGCTTAACTACTGGAGATCAGTGTTGAAATTCCAGCTGAGACGGAAAACTGCTAGGCGACTTCTCCTCATCTGTCTTAAGCCTTGAAGGGCTGAGTTCTTCAGTACATATGCCGGTGGGATATAGCCTGTGGAATATTCGAGCTATCAAGATGCACAAGCTGGCCTGAACACCACCGGTATCAAGATAAAAGGGAAAATGAGAAGAATAAGGCACTTGAAACCACAAGAGGCTATAGAGAATTAGACTCGAAACAATGCTGGAGGTAAATTGTATAGCGGAAACGACAATCTAAGCGTAGGTCCTCATCAATGTGAGCTGTATAGCGGACTATTTCTTGGTCATCCCACGCGAGAATGTGTCGAAGTGGACTGTTGTAGCCATATCTTTGTGTAGTGGTCGATTGGTTGAAGGATTATGAACTAACAATGGAGCATGGTTAGGCAAAATGTAGAGTTTTGTTGTACCTTGTCCTTTCTGATGAATTGACCTTGGAATTTTGTAGAGTAGGAAAATAAGCAGGTAGCACTATAGTTTACTACATATGTAGAGAGAAGCTAACATGAGCAGACCCTGAAAAATGTACTTCTCATTTCATTTCATTGTTTGAACAAAACATGTAATCCAAATCTTTTTCCATTGTAGTAGATAGTGTGCAAGGATTTATGAGAAAAAATAATTGTCTAGAAATGGCAAATAATTAACTACAGAGTTTCTATGGTTAAAGATGACTCTGGCTTTAGAATTATGTCTTATGTTGAGTTTAAAGCTGGGTGATTTACCAGATTTGCCCATAAAACAAGGGAACATCAAATGTTCAAAAATATTCATTTTCAGTAACTTCTTGTTTTAAGTCTAACAACACTTAATACTCAAAATTCCAATGGATCCTTCTTTGAACATCCAATTTTGAGTGTCCACTTATAATGAAACTTCTAAAGCATGTGAACTATGAGATCTTAATATTTCTAGTCAGTGGTTAACGATTTTTTCACCCCTCTAACCGTAATAATTTGTAACTATTGTATACAAGGTAAACACATTGAAATAGTGAAACTTTTACAAGGATATATATTCATATAAATTTAAGTAATTTCTTATCGAAAAAGATAGATTAGTCAAATGATAATTATCTTATATTTAATGATTAAAAAAAATCACAATTTAATAAAATAGGGGGGTAAAATCGTCTTTTTCATAGCATGTGAGATTAGAGAGGGGGCAGTGGGCAGTGTGGGGGTAGTCAAACAAAAGCAGATCCAAAAAACCGGCCTGGCCTTCCCTAGTAGATACCCTGCACAACACGGCCACAGCAGCAGCATAAGCAGCACTTTGAAGTAGGGGGAGAATTGAATAGAGGGTAAGAAGAAGAAGAAGAAGATGGTAACAAGAACAGAAGAAGAAGAGGTGAACAGATTGGAGAATCAAGTAGAGAATGGAGGGGGAGGTGTTTGGGAATATCTTTGTCTTGTCCATAAACTCAAGCTCCGTCGATCTGATATGGTGTTGAAGCATGGGCTCTCCATTCTCAATGATTCCAAAAAGAGATCTGCTCTTGGACCTGAAGGTATATCTAACTTGACCCATAAGGTGGAAATCCTGTTTTTGATCTTTGTTTGTTTGGTTTGCTTGATTTGGTTGTTTACGATTGAAGATAGTGGAAATTAACTACAATTGGGAACTGGGGAATTTGAGATCTTGTACTAATTTGGGTTTTCTAGGATTCAAGTTAGTGGCAATTGGGTAATATTTTGGGACTGGAAAACTTGAGTTTTTGTACTGATTTGGGTAGTCTAGGATCCATGAAAGTGGCAAATTGAAGAATTGGTTCGTGTCGAAGTTGAGATTTTGGGTTTTGGGACCTGTGGTATCTCTCTCTTTTTGTTATTGTTTTTGATTGATTGGTCCATAGACTTCGTTCTAGCATCATGTGACTGGATGAAATCTCTGATAAACCTTTATTCTCTGCAACCCAAATATTGCAGAATGGACCCTATATGAACAGGTCGCTGTTGCAGCTATGGATTGTCAATCTATTGATGTGGCAAAGGTAAAAACATATTTCCTGTTATCTCGAAGTAAAATTTTGTTTCTTCTTCGGGGTTAACTCTGCAGTCTTGCATGATTTTTCCATTTAGTTTATTTTCTAATTATCTGAGTTGCAGTAGCCATGCTAATAGAAGTTTAATCAAATGATCCCAGATTACTTAGCTCAAATTCCTAGATAGCAAAAGTCAATGTTCTTACAGTACAATAATGTAAAATGTATCATACCGTACCTGAGTTCATAGCTATGATTTGATTGTATGTAATATTAAGAGAAACATTCCGGCACAATCTAATATTTAAAGGATGTCACATCAAATTGACCATCGGTTTTTCAAATCTAGAAAATATCATTATTTCCTATAAAGCTGCAGAGTTAAGCTTACAATTACTCAATTGGTGGACTTATATTGGCTATGTGGTTAAATATACCGAGTAATGAAGTAAATGTTACCATGTAGTCAACCATAATCACCAAAATGCATTAGCTATTTTTCAAGTCACGTTCACTGTTTGTTCGTATATGCTAGAGATTCTCTTATGAATCTCTTGTCACTTTATGATTATGTCGAAAATTTGAAATTTATGTTATGGGAACTTCTGCAGGACTGCATAAAGGTTTTGCAAAGAAAGTTTCCAGGGAGCAAAAGAGTTGGTGAGTTCTTTTTGATCTATAAATGTATATGCTTGTTGTCTTGATTTCTAGTAGCTTGCATTTTCTGCACCTGTGGCTAGCAACCTTGAATCACTATGTTGGTACAGCTTCTACCTCTGGTTTCATGTGTCACTCCTGAAGGGTATCACACACAAGCAAATCATGAAACATAAAGATCCCCCTCTCTCTCTGTATAAGGAGTGGAAAAAGTAAGGAACTGATAGTACGTTATATTCTTTAATGATGGCCTAAAATTGGATTGTCAAAATAAATGGTAAGCATTTTAGGTTCCAAAATTCTAATTGTCAGGCTGAATGAATTATAATGACCTTTATAAGAAAAACTAGAATTGATGTTATAAGAACCTGATGCTTTGATTTTTTGGCTTTCAGTTATAAAATTCTATTTTGAGTTACAGTTTTCTTGGAATTCTGGGGTATTGGTGACATATTGTGTTATAGGATTAAGGAAACTATTTATCTGGTTTAAAGCAACATATTTCTTTCGATGAAGCTTTCTAAAGCAGTATTTTGACCAAGGCGCAATGGTGGTATAAAAACAGTGTAAAGAAGTTGAACTTCTTGAGAAGAAAAATCTAATAATATCTCTTCACAGAGATATCATCAGTAACAAACATTGGTGGGGCAGTTCTTTTGTATGTGCCTAATAAGTACTTCAAAGACCGAGACTGAATTAATCGGCATATATGGATTTGGTTGCCCCTGTTCATATTTTATGTTGTCTCAGGTTAATGTTTGCTTTTTAAAAATGCTGAACATTATCATCATCAACACACACTATGAAATAGTTTTTTTCTTTTTGTATAAAGTGTATTTATATTAATTATACAGAAGCTTCTGAATACAAGAGGTACAGCGAAAGTAGAGAATCCACGCAATATGTAACAAATAGATTCTGCGCCTCTCTTTCCATCTGATATTGGAAAGTACTGGTTCAATACTCTCATTGTAGTCATGGTCCAGGTAGTACTATTGATGATCCATTTAAAACAGAGGGCACTTTGCTTTTAGTTTTATTAAAGCGTTTTACAACAACATTGCCTTTATTTAATAATGTATCTTTGTATCTCATTACATAGATCATATGTTCATGCTTAAATGAGAAAGTTATTGAAATGTCATGTGGCCCTAGAAGGATTTCTCAATATTTCATCCTTTGCCACAGTGATCATCAGTCCTGTTCTCAATCATTAAATTATTGTTACTGGGAATAACAAAATTTTCATTTAGCAATATAGAATAGACATTTTTTTCCTTGATGTTTATTTTTCAACCTTTATGTAGTTCTAGATTCCCTTGAACTGAGGGTCTATCGGAAACCACCTCTCTACCTTCACAAGGTAGGGGGAAGGTAGCGTACTCACCACCCTGTCCAGAACCCCACTTGTGGGATTCACACTGGGTTTGTTGTTATTGTATGTAGTTCTGATTCCCGTGTCCTCCGTGTATGCTTGACCTTTTAATAATAGCTAAGAGTTATTATTTTGATTTATTCTCAGGTAGGCTAGAAGCTATGTTGCTTGAGGCCAGGGGATTATGGTCAGAGGCAGAAAATGCTTACTCAAGCCTTTTGGAGGAAAATCCATTTGATCAGGTCTGAGATAGACAAGTACATTTCACCATATATTGTTAATTTGGCTCAATTAGTTTACTTGTAAAATAGATAATTATTATGTGGAAATATGCCCCAAAATAACTTATAAAAAGTTAAAATCTAGTATAAGAAAACTAGCCACTAAATCTGAATTAGAAACTCAGTAGTGTATCTTCGTTTCAGAATCATAATTTTTAAATGTTTTCTTTAACTTTTTCCCGGAAACAGCCTCTCTACCTCCACGAGGTAGTGGCAAGGTCTGCGTACACTTTACCCTCCCCAGACCCCACCTAGTGGGATTTCACTGGACATGTTGTTGTTGTTGTTGTTTGTTTCTTTAACTTTTGTTGACAATATCTATACTACTCGCAGGATTTTAAATTCTTTATCCATATAATTGTTAGTTATGTTCACAGTAGTTTATTCTTGTAGTACACACGCGCACACACAGAATATGTACATATGTACACACACGACATGTATCCATATTATGTGTGTGTCTGTATATTCTCTTTATCTGCACCTTTTTTTCACTAGATCGTGTGTTTTAATTGAGCCTTGTTTTTAAAGCCCTTTGCTTTATACATTTGTTGCTTTGACAAAGTTGGTGCAAACATAAATCTATATGCTCATATTATTGACCAAACATCTGTGCTCATGGTACAGAGGCTCGGTGATTACTCTCATGTAATTTAAGAAAAAGAAGAAGATTCCAAAGCTCAAGCAATATATTTTTCTGTATCTTATTGATATCCTTTAGGTTGTACATAAGAGGAGGGTAGCCATGGCAAAGGCGCAAGGCAATACATCAGCAGCAATTGACTGGCTTAACAAGTATCTTGACTTGTAAGAAGAATCTAAATGCATCACATATTAATACTTATATGTTGCGACTTTAACGTGTTCTTGACTTCTTTCATTGTTTTGGTAGATTCATGGCTGATCATGAAGCTTGGAGAGAGCTTGCTGAAATATATGTTTCCTTGCAAATGTAAGATTTTTTATTCTCATGTTCATAGTGGAAGACTAATGGCTTGGAGGCAACTCTATTCCATTGATTCCTTCTTTTAGCTGCTGTTTCATCCATGCATTGCCCTGTCCAGTGAAAATTGTTTGTCTGTTATATCATATATAGGTACAAGCAAGCAGCTTTCTGCTATGAGGAGCTCATCTTGTCTCAACCTACAGTTCCTTTATATCACCTAGCCTACGCTGATGTAAGATTATCCTCAAGTCATATATTGTCGCTGCTTTTTGAAAATAATTATTAGCTGAGGTACATTGAGAATAGATTGCAATCTTGTGAGCCTGCATCTTTTTTTCTTTTTTTTCTTTTTGAGGTATTATTAATAATAATGTGATCTCGTTCTTGCTCTTAAGATGCTATTCTGGGTGTTTTTATGAAGCTTCACTCATCCACCTCTATCATTGGATAAAAAGGAAGTTGGTTGATTTATACTTGGTTTTCTAGCAGCTATTTTTACCAACTGCAAGTGTTATTATCAACGAGAAGCTCATGAGTTTAGGTTGCCATTCAACCAGTTTTTCTGTGTCTCTTTCAGTAGTGAAGTTGTCAGTGCAGATTATTGTGCTTACTCAGAAGTTTTACTAGAAATGAACATCGAAGTGATAGCTGGATGTCTATCAATGTGCAGAAATAGGGAGAAGATGAGAGGAGGAGCTTTCTGGAATTCAATCTGATTCTCTAAATATTTTCGCGTTATGCTGACTCTGGGCTCGGAGTGGATTTGTTTTTCACTTTATCTGGGCTTGGACCTAGTTTATTGAACAAAATGTATCTTTCTTCTAGTTTGAGAAATGCCTAAGACCTCTGCCTCTTTGATGGCAGAAGTTGGGGGTGTCGATTTTTTGAAGCTAACTCGACAAATCTTTAGATATGATGGTTAAAGAAAATGTGGATTTCAAACCACAAATCCTTCAGAGAAATCTAAAGGATGCTTTTGGTATATGGGGTTTCCCTCAATTCTTAATAAAATTATTTACCTTATCAAAAAAGTCTAAAGGAGAAAAGAAATCAATCTCCCCCTCAACACAAAAAAAAACAAAAGAGGAAATAGGAAAGGATGGTAAGAGTAGGAAATTTTAGGGTGGGGAGGATTGGTAACAGGAAAGAGGGGGACCAGCTAGAGGAGGCAGAATAGAGTGGTGGAAGAGTGAGATGTAGAATGAATGGGTGCTGGATGAAGTGGAAGAGGGGTATGATGGGGTTCTAGGGAAAGATTGGTGAGGTGGGATAAGGGAGTGACTAGCTGGGCAGGGGGTGGCTGTTTGTATGGCGAACGGGAGAGAGTGAAGGTTGTGGCGAGCTGGGATAGAAGAGGGAGGCTTGGCACGTGAAGGGAGCTTGGATTGTGACAGCTATAGTGTGAAGCGAAGTGACCCAACTGATGAATGGGTCAGGCAATTGTTAGATTTTGAGAACAACCATTGCTTTTGCAAACAGACTGTTTATTTAAGAATAAGGTTGTTTTGGATTGCATGTTATTTTTCTGAAGAACTTGCTTCCACCATGGCATGCATTTTTCTGATAATAGCCATAAAATAATCACTCGTTACATTTCATCCCGGCTTTAACAGGTGCTCTATACACTTGGTGGACTAGAAAATCTTCAGACGGCAAAGAAATATTATGCATCTACCATAGACTTGACTGGTGGCAAGAATACCAGAGCACTTTTTGGCATATGTTTGGTCAGTGAATCTGACTCATCTCCATTTCTTAATTTTGACAAAATAATGCTTGATGATTTCTTTTGCTTTGTTAACCCGTGATGAATTTACCAGTTCTTTTATATGTAAATGATCTAGTGGTGAAGAAAATTATCATAGTAAGTGCTCTAAGTTTTTTTAAAAACTTAAGAAACTGCTTATAAATGAACACAGAAGAAATTGCTTATAAATGAACGCAGAAGAAACTGAAAGATACAAGGCACTCATTGCACTCTGCATTGTATACAAGTTAGTAGACTGTTTTCCAACTTGCAGTCCCGGTCTTGTATGTCCCTACTTATTTGCATTAATTAAATTCTACACATGCTGGAGGTTTTAAAAATTCATAGACTGTTAATAAGCCGCACAACTAAATGAAGTAGGTTCTTGTTGTTTGCCGATGACCCTTGGAGATTCTGACTTAATGTGTTGTTTCCAGTGTACGTCTGCCATCGGGCAACTGACTAAAGGACGAAACAAGGAGGATAAAGAGAGCCCAGAGCTTCAATCTCTGTCGGCAATGGCATTGGAAAAAGACTATAAGCAGAGAGCTCCCAGCAGGCTGTCGGTGCTTAGTTCAACATTGAGAAGCTTGAAAATCTGACCTAACCACATTAGCATATAGTTTTATTGGAAGCAGCACCATACTGTTCACAGCGTGCACTTCAAGATTCCAAGTCTGTCAATCTGCTTAATTACCCCTTTTTGCAGAATTTTTTTTTCCCAATAGTTTTCATTCTTCTACTCTTTGCATTATTTTACTTATTTGTGGAAGTGCTGTTTCACTTATTTAAGTAGGGGAAGCAAATGACAATGTAAGTTAGCAAGATTATTACTTTTAGACAATTTTGGGAAAGTTTAATGCTGAATAGAATACTTGAACTTGATATGTTGGATCATGAAATAAATTTCTATTGGACAAGTTTGTGGATAGCAGGTTTAAGAGGTAAACAGTGTATATGTTTTATTTTTTTTAAACTGATAGGCAAACAGTGTATTCAAAATATGCCATAAATATTAGCAGAAAGTTCTCAGTTCAACAACTGGGCAGATATCAATTCAGAATTGAGTTATTTCCTTACAACTACAAAATAAATACAGAGGAAGGTACTAAGTCGTATTAGTTTGATATAACTAGCTACCTTCACACACTAATTACACTAACTAGCTACATATGATAGTAGAATAAAAACATACTTGCACAAGCATTCTCCATGGTTTTGTATCAAGAATTGGACAAAACAGTAAACCCTCCTCCTTTATTCGGGTTACATTACAAACAAAACACAAGCGGAGGTAAAATATATATTTTTTGATATGGATCAACATGACTTGCCATCACTTTACGATCATAGACAAGTCACCTTCTTAACAGTCACATCATCTTGAATAGTTGAATTAACGATTGAAAAATATTTTGAATTTTTTTTAGAATCTTAGATATTCTATAGCAAGACATTGGATTAGGCTAAGACCAACTCAAATGTGTGGGGAGAAGGGATCACAAGTATATTATTACTATCACGAATTAGGTGTGACCTAACCCCAGATGAACTAAGTCCAGTTGAGAGTGAGCGTAGATATTTTGAAAAAGTCACTCAAAGGCCTTAGTCTTCTATTTTCAGTCAAGTAACCAAGATCCTAGTTTAACAGTAGAAATATAAGACTCAATTAATTGGAGGAACTCGTGAGACTCCAACCGGTTCACTCACTAGGACCTGGGGATATGCAACATGGAACTTAACGAGTCAATTTGTGCATAGCATTCACACATAATAGATATATTTAAGCTCATTTTCGTATGTTCATGATATATTTTGATAGATTTGACATTTTAGCTCCGATGCATTTTCATTGACCCTAGATATATACATTGTAAGTTCATGACTCATTGCCGGTCCTTTTAATTAGGCTTGGGCATAATTTGGTCGAAACTGATCGAGTTGATTTTTTTTTAATTTCGATTTCGGTTAAATCGGTTGGTTTCGATTTTCAGTTTTAAGTTTTTTATTTCGGTTAACCAAAAAACCGAATTTATGTAATACATATTTACTACATATATATTTTTAAGAGTTAAGTAACTTAACTAAAAGCCCAACCCAACAAAACCCAGTAGCCCATTACATTATATCCCTAAATCCTTATCCACCCAAAATCCCTAATTCACAAATCAGTAAATCACAATTCACATTTCACACCAAACTAAATTTTGCGCGAGTGAAGAGTGAAGAACAGCCGCAAGTCTGCGCCATCAACCTGAAAAGTAAGTTTCTTGGCCGCGATTCTCCATTATACTTTATACATATCAGTTTGTTGCGATTCTCACTGATTTTCGTATGGGTTCTAAGTTCTCACATCTTTTCTTCTTATTTTTCGCAGATGACAGAAATTGGAAGTAAGATAAGTGAAAGTGGAGCTTCAAATGAAACTATACATAATACTCCATCTCCGAATGAAGTTGAAGCTGACATTGAAGCTTCAAAGAAAAAAAAAGACCTAGGGCTGCCTGTTGAAAGTATTTTGAGAAATTCATCATAAAGATGGAGCTACTAAAGCAAAATGTAATTATTGTGGAAAAATTATACATAATACTCATCAGTGTTTCATGTATGTGTTGATGATATTAGAACCGAAAAAATTAACCGAATTAAACCGAACCGAAATTGTAAAAATCGAACTGAACTGAATTTATTTCAGTTCAGTTTCAGTTTGTATATTTTTCAAACTGAAATTCGAAAAATCGAACCGAATTTCGTAAATCGAACTGAACAGACCGAATGCCCAACCCTACTTTTAATTGTGTTGATAATATCGAAGTTAGTCAATAATTGATCTATATTATCAACTCTATATCCAATCACAAGGCACTAACTTCGAATCTAAAACTAAAACCTTCTTCAGATTGTAGCGGAGATAGTAAAGCATTGTCGTACTTTCATGAAAAGTATGGCACTCTAATAAAATGATAAAAGTGCAAACTTGCTACAAGGAAAACGAAAATAATATATTTGTTAATATTTCACTACTGAACCAAAAGTTAAATAATGCAAAAACAAATTTTAAAATATATAAAAGAAATGATAACTTCGATTTGTATATATACATATTTATATGATAATTTAAAAATAAGTAAATTAAATACTACAAAGAAAGTTAGTAACATGTAAAAGAAATGATAACCTTAGATTTGTATATATACATACTTATGTACTAATCTAAAAAATAAATGAATTGCCTAAATGAATTTGAAATTAGCATATGAAAAGTATTTTCAGTTGATATATAAAAAGGAAACAAAAGTATTACCCACTTTATATAATTTTAATTTCCATCCATGTAAATTAAAATAGACATCAAATCAATAAATCTAGGTTTTATAAAAATAAAAAAGGAAAAAAATAAAAGTATTACTCCACCCTACCTAAGTTCAATTTATGTTGCCAGTAAATTGGACACATAGTTAATATAGGATTGAAATATATATATTGGAGAAAATATGAGAGGTGAAAAGGCTTATAACTTATTTGAAATATGATGTTTAATGTAAAATCATGTTTTTTTTATTCTTCAATATAGTAGCGCAGGTTCAAAATTGAAAAATCTCAAAAGAAGTGAAAATATTGTAACTGATTTGTCCTTTATCTTCTGGGTTTATAAACGTAGTTGAGAGATCAATAGGAGCAGATTTTGATGAGAAGTACAATTACTGAATTTTTTGTCTTTAAATATAGATATAACTGTGGAACTCATTAAGATATTAAAATTTATTAAAGGTTTTGAATTTCTTAAAAATAGTATATGACATGGTATTTGTACTACATATAAAATTGTCATAGTGCAACTAATGTGTTTCTTGGCCTAAAATTATAAAATGGATTCCAAATTTAATATTAACACATTTCATGATTATAACTAACTAAAACAATTATCTAGCAACAGTTTAATATTTCTTAAACAGAGTGTTTATGACCTTTTAAATTTATGCAAAGGGTGGAACTCCATGAGAGGCCAATACAGACAAGCATCTTGGCTTATCAAGAAAATTTTCAAAGCTACGGAGTACGTGGAAGCTGCTGGTTACACTGAAGATCAATTCCAACAATTGCATTATTTCTCTGTAAAAAAGATGTACCAATTGGTGCAAGGGGTGTTTTCAAAAGTAAGATGGAAGAAGTTAGTTTGCAATACCCCTTCTACACCGAAATGGTTGTTCATTATGATTAGTGGTGGCAAATGGGCGGACTGGGTTAAATTTGGGCGGGTTAAATTTGGATCAACATAAAATGGGTAATAATTCAACTCGCCCATATTTGATATGGGTAAAAATGGATTGGGTAAGAAATGAGTTGGGTAAAATACTAGTTTACCCATATTTTCATGAGTAAATAGTACTCTACTTAAGAATTCAACATGGAGAAAATATTTTAGTCTTTTTTTAGATGAAAAATGTTGGAAATGCTTTATTTAGTTTTATTGTATTATAAAAGTAAAAAAAAAATTCCTATAACTTTTCAATATAAAATACAATTATGTAATAACAAGGGGAAAATATTTTTAATTTCAAAGAAAAGGAATATTTGCATTTTAGGACTAAAACATGCTTAATGCACTTTAAGCAATGTCAATACTAATACATGATTTGCTTAT